AATTAGGTTAAAAAAATAGATAGATGACATTGATTATTTTTAAGTAAGAGATATAAGTATTGAAAGAAAAAAAATAAATTAAATTACCATTGAGAATTAGACTAGCAATATCAAAGAATTTAGGCATAAAACAGTATAAACAAGTACTGATGGGTAGGTAAATTACATACAAATAACACATAAGAAAATGAGTAATGGCATTATGGTAAATAATCTAAAAACTCATTCATTTCTTTCTCTTAAGGCCAACAACCAGCATAACAAAGAGAGAGGTTCTTCACATGTTAATTTCTTCTCCAAAGCCATATTCGTGTCCTTTCAAATGGTGAGATTGAGGGGAAAAGTTTTATGTAATCAACGAAGGAGAAGCAAACATAAATGAATATAGAGATGGTAAGGGATGGTTTTGAGAGTAGAGAGGATGAGAGAGAAGCTAGAAGTGTGAAGGAAAAAGAAGGAGAAGAATAAAAGTTTGCTAATAAAACCACAAATTGAACTCAAACTTGCTTGGTAAGATGTCCTCTACTATTTATTTCATAGTTTTGATAGTTTTTATAAGGAATAAATGAAGAGCCCTCAAATATGTTGATTCTAGGATTCTAGAGAAATGATGAAAAAAATTGGTGTTTTTAAGTAAATGGGTTAAGTTAGCTTAGGAGAGATGTAAACTAGACATGATTATAAAATAAAAAAATAATAATAACCTCAGCATTTAAGGCTAGCCAGATTTAGGATAAGAGGAGGAGTAGAAATTGGTTTAAACTTGTGAAGTTATGTCATATGTATGAATGAAAAATTATGTTATAATGAGTTTTTAGTTAAATGAGTTGGGTATTTGTAACATCTAATGGAAGATAATGATAATTATGAAAGTTTAGTAAGAACCTTGCTATGGAATTATATTAACCAAATAGACATATAGGTTTGATTTTGGAAAAATGAATGAGATATAAGAAATGTAACAGAATAAAAGAAGAAAATAGAAAATTTGCTAAGGTTAGGGCCAACCATATTTAGGGAGAAAAGGTTCTATATTGTATATGATTTGACTAATTAAGTTTGTATGTTGTATTATCATTTATGATTGGGAATAATAGTTAAAATAAATTGTGAATGTTGGTTGAATGAACAAAAAAAAAAGAGAAGAAAATTTAGTTAGTGTTGCTATTTTTTTGTAATTAGAGAAGTTTGGGAAACAATTAATGGAAAAAAGCTTGGTATAAAGAAAAATTAATAAAGGTGTGGTACCTTATATAAGAACACGATAATGGCATGGTAAGGATTGCGAAAAATAACTAAAATGAAATGGCAAAAAAATGTTAGATGGGTAAGGTTAATGAGGAAAATTGATAATTATGAGATGTTAAGAACCAATAAAATTTTGAATATATATATATATATATTATGTTATAGGTTTGGAAACTGGACCTTTGACATGAGAAGCACATTTGACAAGAGGACTTGGTAGGTACTCGACACCTTATTCTTTTAAATTCAGTACAACTTTACTTATAATTTTGAAATTTTTATATCATGTTATAGTTATGAAATGGAATGAGAATGATTGGATTGTGTTTCTGGAATGAAAGAATGAATTATGCCTTCGGATAAGGAATGATATCAAATGAATTATGCCTTTATGATGAGATATTAGAATTCCAAAAATGGATTGCCTCTAGGGCAGGATAATAGAATTTCAAGAAAGGATTGTTTTTGGGGCTGGATAATATAATTTCAAGAATAAATTGCTTTCAGGGAGGGTTAATAGGTGAAATATGAAAATTGTTGTAAAGATCACTATTTTATCTTTTTTTTTAATTAATTGATTGTTCGTGTAATGAATGTGAAGAAAATTATATGCATTGTTTACAAACTATTCATAACAGAAAATACATTATATGAATATCATATATAGAGTAGGAAAATATTATTCAGTGAAAACTTGCCATCAAGAAGGGAAAATAAGATGAAAGGAGTGTGTTTTAATGACAATAATATTAATGTGTGAGATTTATATAGACCACAATGGTGAATTCAATAAGTAAGATTTGAATTAACTATAACAAGAAAATTAATAAGTAAAATTCAAATTGACTGCAACAATGCAATGATAGGATTAATGTATGGAAATTAAATCAATTGTGAAGGTGGGATATTTGTGTAGAACTTTATATTGGTTGCAACAACAGACCTAATATGTAAAATTTTAAATGGATCATAATGGCAAGGTTATTATGGTTTGCACTTTGAGTTGTAAGTATTTTAAATTAAGTGAGGAATATGAATGGTGCAAAATAAAAAGTTATAAATTATCAAGATGAGTCGATTAGTGTATAAATAATAAATAGTATAAGTTATAAATATAAGGTTAATTAATGAAGGTTGATTAATTCAAATTAAGACCCCAAATATTAAAATGGATCGCTGAATATGACTAGCTTAAATGATGAGTTATGGATATGAGATTAGGTTTGAGGAATACAATTATTTATATTAATTAAATGAGCGTTTAAAACTGTTGAAATGAAATCATGAATGCATAAATAAAATAAAGCATGAGATGTCAAGATGAAAATGAGTAGATGAACATAATTGTTATAAAGCATGTTATGGGTACCAAAATATATTGAAGAATATATATGATGTAGAATATGAGTTTTGAGTATAAAAATGAATCAAATAAACCAAAAAATATGACTTAAATATGAGATAAATAAATAATGAGTTTAATGAGTCCATAAATATAATTAAAGCACAAGTCATAAGCATTTATTTGGATTAATAAATCCAAACTCATTTATAAGTTAAAATACAAAGATAAGGTAGTGATATTGATCAATTTTAATATAAAGTGTGATCATTAGATGAAATAAATAAATGTGATAGTGTATGCTTTGAAAAGCAAGATAAATATTATGAATAAATATGAGAAAATTCTGATTTTAAGTTTCTTAAAATGAAGAATGATAAGAATATATTATATATGTAATCTAAAAGAGTTAATGTTAATACAAGTATCAACAAGACTAACATGATGGAATAAGATTTAGGGGTTCTATCAAAGGATACTATGGAAGAAAACAACAAAGAGGAAATTTTATGTAAACAAAGAATAACATGAATAATGAATACACTTGTAAAAGGATTGCCAACATTTGAGATTGTCCTTATAATCATAGATATATTTTGGTAACAATTTTGCACATGTATAGTTTTATATTGATGTGTTTGTTTATACAACTAAGAAAAAGTTATTGAACTAAATAAATGCAAATATACTTAATGTGTGTGCTATATATTATGGAATTTTGTAAGTACATTCTTTTTTACTCTTCAATAAAGATACCAAATGTTTACTTGCTTAGTTTTTTTGGTATTAAATAAACCTCTATATAAGTAGTTGATGATACAATGTGGATACAAATTGATTATACCAAAGTGTTGAAAAATCTTTTGTAAGATGAATATTATATAATGATAGGGTTGCATCATAAATAAATAAAAAAGGAAAATAATTTTTGGATAAGGATAAAAAAAATTATCACATTTTTTATGTTCAAGATAATTATCAAAATAATAATTGTGTAAAAGGTTCGAGTGTCACAAACTAAAAAATAGTTAATCCACAATAATTGAAGAAGGATGAGTGTAAAAGTTTGTGTATGAAAAAATAGTAAACTATTTCAATCCATATTAATTGATTCAGATGAATCCTTTAAACCTGAGTTAATATTCCATATTCGCAACTTATAAAATCATAAACTTGGGTTCAATTCTCAACCAATTTAAAGTTGAATGATAAAATTAGAAAAAAATCACAATTTAAAAATCTCACCCAAAAAAAAACAATAAAAAGAATGGACATCAAATATGAAAGAAAAAGAAAAAAATGGAGGGTTAAATTGAGAAAAAAAACAAATTAAAATACTATTTTAAATAAAAAATAAAAATAAAAGAATAAGGATAGATTAATAAATTAAAAGAGGATAAATTGAAAATAAAATCAAATTTTAGAAATTAATTAAAATAAAACAAATTGGGAAAAAAAGGAACAAAATAAAAAACTTAAAGGGCTAATCTGCAAATTTAGAGGGTTAGGCAAGAGCTTCTAGGAGGAAAGATAAAAGAAAATCGTTAGCACCGCATTAAAAGTCTATTGATCACACGCACCACACAGCAAGAAAGAGAAGGTTGAGAGGGATTGAATCACATGGTGAAAAAATAGTTTAGACCACCATCGACAATTGAACTTGCTATTTAAAGGTAGTTGAGCAACCCATGCATGCATCAATAACTTTTTTTATATAAAAATACCACATCTAGTACAAAAAAAATATTACAAAAAATATCATTGTGAATCTAAAAATAAGCTTTTATAGTCAAGCTTTTAAAATTTTGATACCAAAAAGCTCCTACACCATAATTAAATGTTTTTTTTTTCTTCCTAGAAAAGTAAAGTGATTTTACTGTAAAAATATAAAAAAAAATCAAAATGCCCCAAACAATTTGGAATGAAAAATGAACCAAGCAAAAAAAATATTGTACCCTTAAAGATAGTTCTTTGTGTTATTTTTAAACGTAAAATTATAAATTCATTATTAAATCAAGGCATACGTAACATAGGTTTTTTGTTTTTATAACTAGCAAGCCTCCCATATGCATTTCATTTTGTTTTGGATGATATGAAGCTGATAGTCAAAACGATTATATCTACCATCTGATAAATGACTTTCGACTCGTTCTATCGCAATGAATAAGGAATTCTGGCGTGAATGGCTCCGTTGGCATGGTTCTAGGTTTCTGCCTCTTGGCAACTGTTCGTTATTTATTTTTCCATTTATGCGTCAGCTACCTCAATTGCAATCTCTCCGTGTATCATGTTGTAATAACTTAAAACAACTATGTGCCCATGAACTCTTGGGATCATCTCTTTTTTATGTTACTTCTTCCGCGTGCAGGTAGCTTGCTGGCCATTCCTAACACACAGATTAAAGAGGCTAAAAAAAGTACCAATTCCTTTTCTCATCTCATATCAATGCTCTATGGCTACGCGATCCTCCTAAAACATTCTAAAGTTACATTGACGTATCCGCTCATTTACATGTAAATTACATGCTGGAAAAGTACATGTGTATCTACAAAGCTCAAATTACTCAAACTAGAGCCAAACAAGTGAAGATAAAGGCAAGTAAAACCTTCGCATCTTGAAGACCTTGATATGGGGGAATTCTCTGAATATATGATCTTGAGGTTTTCTATGACAATAGAAATCAAGTTGCCCCTGGTTAGACATGTAGAAGAACTGAACTGGCAACATGACGTTGCATAACCAGAAAGATTTCTGAAAAATCAACTCAGGACAGGAAGATCAGATACTTATCCGTGAGAGCTAGAAGATTCATCACAGAGTAACTTAATCAATGAAAAGCAAGAACCGTACAATTATAGCCAACGATCAACAAAAATACCCAGTGAGCCCAAAAGAGAACTCCGATCATCCAAGGAGTGTCTTTAATGGAGTGGAAATGACATGCTAGGCATGCTACTAAACTTGGGGATTTCTTCAAAGATAACCAACCAGGACAGGCCTGCATGCTAAGTTGCTAACCATTAACCAAGGTTCCCCCGAAGAAAAATTATGGGGGGTTGGAGGAGAGGACAAGAGAAATTAGGATCTGCCATACCCGTTACAGATCTATAAACCAACATCAAAACTTTGGAACATGCTGCTCGTATGTCAATCCTTGCATGAATCATCATTTAAAGAAACATCATCCTAGTGTTTCATACAAAGCATAATGCACATTTCATCCGAAGTCCAAATACTCAGATATCATAGAACTTGATATCAATAACACAACAAATCACCAAAAACAATAAGACACCAAGTGGCTAAATAACTTGTAATATAGATTGAACACATGTCTGATCACCGAAGTCATGAGATATGGCACTAAGCAAAATTGATCGACAAGCTATACCCATTAATACAGCAGAATTGAAAGGATGCCTTTTGTTCTGTGGCTATGACACCTGCAATGCTAATAATGACAGCATAATTTTTCAGATATTCAAAGATACACTTATGGCGAGGATTATTGCATCTTTAAAAAAACCTCAAACCACAAACAATTAAGAAAAAGCCAAGTGGTGCTTGTGAGCTAAGAGAATTACTTGAGAATGCATCAAAACTAGGAGTGAAACATAAAAAAGCTCCGAGTTTTGAAAGAGCAATAATTTGAGACAGGTAGGACAATATTTTCCACTCAATATAGATTTGAATGAATAATAACATGAGGTTAAATTTGCATTTCAGAAGACAGAACACGCACAAGACTCTTCAGGGAGTGGCTGGTCTAGCCCCAGAGGATTCCAATCTTAACAAATACAATTTCAACCTTTCATAGGCTAACAAACTTCAGATAAGATTACAAGAATTCTAGCCATAGATTAATGGGAATACACACACACACACACACACATCCATTCACCAAACACGTATGAAATTCTTGGTATTAAGATAAATATTGCTATAGTATCCACATATAAAACTGAATGAAACCGAAAAATACAAAAAAGCATGCCATCACTTTTAAATAGTGGCCATCACATTCATGCCCCAATCTTGATAATATCTATTCAGATTTGAAATTAAAGTTTACTTGGACCTGAGCAACATTACCAAATTTACTAATATCATAACAATTCAAGTAACTGTAGAAAAAATAATTAATCTCATATAAAACAGGTAAAATGTAATCAGTTTCATGTTAAACAATAACCGATGAAAAAAGAAATGGAGCTATATCTTATGCAAACAATCGCCAACATTACCAAATTATATATATAAAAAAAAACAATTAGAACAGAAAGCGATTCTGCTCCATCTTCTATGCTGGTTTGCATCCTTTAAAAAAAAAAAAAACAGCGAGAGAGAGGAGAGAAGCAATCACCAAACCTTGAAAAGGCAACAATCCACAAAAGAATTATTCACAACCACCGCGCTCGTGTCACCATTAACTGAAACCACTCACATTCTCTCACTTGTTATCAGTATTAGGACAGTCTCTCGCAAAATGCCCTTCCTCGCCACAATTGTAGCATCCTCCACCTCTACCTCCACCACCACCACCAGAATATCCTCTTCTTCCACCGCCACCATATATCCCACCACCACCGCTACCCTGATAACAATCCCTCGCTAAATGACCGTACCGTCCGCAATTAAAACAAGCACGATCGCCACCACCCCCGCCAGCGCCATATCCTCCGCCTCCATAACCTCCACCATTTGAACGGCCACCTCTTCCAAAACCGCCGCCACCTCGTCCTCTTCCGCCGTAGTACCCCCTCCCGCCACCGCGACCTCCACGAGGAGGACGGCGAGATCTGGAGGCGCCTACGACATCAACGGCCTTGGTGCGGCCGTCTTCTTCTGAATCAACGGAGAACTCAACAGGCTGTCCGTCGGAGAGGGTCCGGAAGCCGTCGGATTGGATCGAGGTCTGGTGGACAAACAGATCCTCGCCGCCGTCGTCGGGAGCTATGAAGCCAAAACCTTTCTGTGCACTGAACCACTTGACGTTGCCAGTGGATCTCTTGGTCTCAGCCATTGAAATGAGCTTCTAGAAGAAGCTAGAAGGTTCTGGAGTTGGTTTGAGTATTTCAATGGCTTAACGCAGTGTTTACGTGAGTGTGGTATGGCGTGTACCTGGTGTTTATGAGTGTCAGAGCTCGGGGACGTTTTGAGTTTGTTAGGCGGGGGACCCAGTGGATGAGAGATCGGATGGTGTGGAGTGGATTAGATTGGTATCGTACGGTTGTTGAGGATTTAGCAGTTTGTCCCATTTATGTTTGACTACTCATATCAGATCTTTTATAAATCTATCCGTTTGTGCCTGTTTCTGTTTGCGTTTAGTGAAACCTCAAAAATAGCCCCCAGTTACATACGGAGAGTCGATTTTGATTCAAGTATCAATTTTTTAAAATTAAATGGAAAGAGTGCTGCGACTTTTAATTAAATGTATTGTTTCCTATGTCTTCTTGTTGTTTTGAAACTATAAGATTTATTTGAAAGTAACATTTGGTATATACATAATTTCACTGGACAAATTCTAAAATATATCATGCAAATGCTTTCTTTAAATCCTGAAATTTTCTTTTTTGTTCACATAAGCCTTTAAAGGTAGAATGCAACTTATATCTCCTTTTTTACCCAAACAAACCTTAAAAACAATAAATCTTACTTAAAATAAACCCAAATAAAATCAAATAATTCGATGATAAATAGCATGCACTAGATCCTTAGCACATGCTATGCCACAAGCTAGATTATTTTTTAAAAATATAAAAAAAAATATGAGGTCATCAGAAACATGTAGATTATTTTTTAAAAATATAAAAAAAAAAATTATGAGGTCATCAAAAACATATTTTCTAGAAATAAAATAAAAAAGTAATGAACACAAAACTCAGTATTTGAATGAAACCTTTTTTAACTATTGAGTTTGTGACATATTAGATGATATATTAGATTGATCTAAACCAATCTCGATTAACTTGTAAAACTCGTAATTTAGATCATAAGATAGTAATAACCTCATAAAAAGCAAATCAAAGCAAACTATAAAGCCTTTGTTGTCCCAAAGAAATATTATTTGATTGATGTTGCATATCTAGATGGATATAGATATTTAAATCCATATAAATATGAAAGATATCACTTGCATTGTTTTTAGCATTGAAAGTAACTAAGAAGTCATGAAGAAGTATTTAATGGTGCAAACTCATTACTATGCAATGTGATAGAACATACTTTATTGAAATGTGAAAACGTAGATGAAGAATTTTGCAAAACATACATGTATATTTGTACAAAATACAAATTCATATTATAATAACATCAATGGCACTACGTAACTACATTAGAAAAAAATCACAAATGATATTTATAGAATTTAATCGTCATCTCAATTTTATTCTCGATGATCTTTTAGTCGATGTCATTCTATTCTCGAATAGCAATGGATACCAAAGGACTTCTCGAATGAATTACATACATAATAGAATTGCAAGTAGTTTAATAGGACAATAAAAGTATGAACTTAATAAAGGATTGTTATTTTTATAATGTATTAATAATAATATAATTCAAAACTACAAACTTATTAAATATTATTTGTAGTTATTTTATTGTCAAAATTACTTTAAAAAACAGTTTTAACCAAATACCTTTAAATTACTTTTTATTCAACAATAATTCAAACCTTAGTTTTAACCAGAAATATATTATACCTAACTAATTACAACTAATAATAACTTTTTTAAGCTAATTTGTTTTTAAACCATAACAATAAAAACTACTATAATATGATAAAGATATTTTTAAATCACAACAATAAAAACTATTATAATATGATAAAAATAGCATATATCACGAGTGAATATTTTTCGTGAATATTTCAATAATAATTGATGGAAAAAGTATGTTTTTTAGCTAAATCTATGTATCAATATTTTACTTTTACCCCTGGTTTAAAATATTTTTAATTTTCAAAAAGTTTGCTGATACAAAGATCATCTTTTTAGCTATTTCTTTTTAGGCTCTTCATTATTCTTTGGAGATGTCACCACACAACGGAGGAATTGATGTGATAAAATGAGATTTTTAATACATACATGCATGCATATATACATACATACATGCATATATATATATATATATATAAAAAGGAAAAGGAGCTTTGCTAGCTATTTAAATGATTGGGGGAACACATCGGAACCTCTTAAAACCAACCACCTAAGTTAGAGTATAGAAGTTCAGACTACAAGGATGGAGTTGGAACATGCTTGAATCTACAAGGTTAAAAAGGAAAGTTTCACCCGTGACTAAACCGAGATTTCTTGTCAACGGGAAAGCCGCCAAATCATTGTTTTCGGCAGTGGAGCTAAAACGACATGTCGTTAGATGGTTCCCTCCAATACAATGCAATCAGAGGTGTTCTAGAGACTTCGACTTCTGTCCAGAACCTACCACTCTTTCTAATACCCCTCTCCCACGCAATGTGAATTCCTCATCCAATCTCATTCTCCATCTCTGAAAAATCGAATCATGTTCTTCTTCCCCTGTCTGGTCTAACATTGTTGTTTGATTTTGTATTTTGGCAAATAAATAATTACAAAGTAATCTAGAATCATAGCTGGTGGTGAATCCTGATCAGTGGAGTGATGTCTGCGTACGAGAACGTGATAGGGGGGAAGCTGAAGCTGAAGGGAAAAGCACTGGACGTGAAAGCAGGTGGCATTATCAAGAAGAAGAAGAATCTCCGTTACAAGAAGCACCGTTATCAAGATCAATCTGCAGCAGGTTTTTGTTTCATGTCTTCTTCTTCTTTACCTTGATCCTTGTTGGTAACTATGATATTTTTTTTTTTTAATTGGACACTCTCATGTAGACTATGCACGATGAATGATGAGTTAAATTAGGTGGTCTTTCTAGCAATTTGTAATGTTGGAATAGCGCTGCTATCTCCTAGTTACGAAGGCATTTCTGATTGGTAAAAGGCTTGAAAAAGGGCATGTGTTTTAAGGTGGAATTCGCTGAACTCTTCACTTGAGAAATGCAAGTGTGATTTTCAAAAGTTCAAAGAATAGCGAGTTGAAGGTTGTGTGGGATCACTATTGCACGATTTTATTGGGCAGCGGAGACTAGTATTCAGAACAACACTGTAGGATTTGAATGTAATGTGGCATGGTGGGAGCACTGATTATTTTGCATTTTTCTTCTAAACTCTCATGGATAAGATTTTGGGGTGTAAAAACACAGAAGGTTGAGTTCGTGTTTGAGATGGACTGAGCCAGCTCCAAAACTGACAGGAGTCGAGGGAATAGCCTTTCGAGACATTCCTCGGTTTAGAGTTGCAGTATTATCTGAATAATTGCTGGGAAATAATTATAAAAAAATATTTGCTGATCGGAAAATGGTTCAGTCCCGTCTACATTCCCAATGTAATTTACAGACTAATTCCTTAGGGCTCATTTAATCTTCATGTGAGTAGATAATGAGATATATATTTTTCATATTGATGCCCCACTTGCTGATCCATCCAGAGTTTACAATTGGATTTGCTGCCTGCCCTTCATAAAAAATCAGTGATGATAGAGCGAGGATGGAGAAAGAAAGCTATATTGCTTCCATTGCGAGTGTGTAGGAGCTGAGAGAAAGGGAAGCGAAGAGGGAGAGAGAAAATGGGGGGGGGGGGTGTATTGCTATAGTTTTATGCAGTGACTGTCTATGATGTCATAATGCTTTCTACAGTTTCATCATTCATTGTTTTCAGTTAATATTGCCTTGATTCATGAATTATTGGTTGTTACTAACAAAATGTCTTCATTTTAGAGGTTGTCAGATGGAAATACAGAATTAGCAACAGATCATGCTGGGGATATGAACGAGACAGACAAAGATGATGAACAAGGGCAGACTGCAAAGTATGATGATCATCTTACACCAGCTGAGAAGCGATATCTCCAGCAGTGGGAGAAAATCGATACCCAAAGGATGGTTAAGATGGCCAGCAAATCTCACCGTGATCGGATTCAGGAATTCAATCAATATCTGGCTAACCTAAGTGAGCATTATGACATTCCAAAGGTGGGGCCTGGTTAGTTGTTTCTCCAATTTGTCAGTCAGGCGTATGCACTAGTTCAAAGGATTGAGAACAATGAGCTTTAAAAGTTAAAAGCTATGCATATTGATTGAAAGCATCACAGTTGTCTGGATTTGCATGTTTTAAGTTCATTGACAGTTTGTTCTCTGTGTATTTAAATTGTGAATTCTGCAACTAAGTTTAATGGACAGTTTTGATATCTTACCAGTTGGATCTTTGCCTCTGTAGAGCTCCCAAAAATTCTAGTAAGCTGTGGAAAATATTCCAACTAGTAAAAAAAAAAATTGAATGGTTTCCAAATTTCTTATCTATGGTGACTATACATGTGAGGTATGTCTGGTATGAGACAAGGGATCTGCAGCGGTGGCAGGGAACTCGGGCTTTCCGATGTTCACTTAACAGGATCTAAGACGATGTTCTGGTTCATCTAGCATTACAAATTCTCCTTTTCGTTTATGTATTAATTATGTAGGTGGCTTGGACTAGAGTATAGTCCCTTTAATGAATTTATCGATATGTTTTTACTTCATGGTATGAAGAGATTTTAGCTTCATTTTTGCCCGTGGTACGATCTTCTAGTCGAACGGCTCGAACCATGTAAATCAGGCTTGGAGTGGAATCACTTCTCTTCTGGTAGCAAACGAGGCCCTCAGCTGCCCAAACAAAGATATTACATTATAACCGACCCACGGCTAGAAAGCCCAGTAACATCATTGAAAGAGATGTGCTATGCATGTAATCAAATAAATTAAAAATAAAAATTATATATGAATAAATTAATTAAAAATTATTGTTGATTTTTAAAAATAAAATTTTAAAATTCAATAAATAAATATAAATCAAGATAAATATTTTTTAAAAGGTAGGGTATTTATCTAAATATGTTTGTTAAATTTATTTATTAAAATATTTTTTATTTAAATAAGCATTAATAGAATAGAGATACAAATTAAATTGATAAAATAAAATAAAAAAAATTATATATATGGTTGTATATATTAAAAATATTATCTGAAAATAAAAAAATATTCTAAAACATAAAATTCATAAGAATCAAAAAAATACTTTAAATTTAAATGTATAGCAAAAAAAAAAAAGCATTTAGGAGAGACTCTTTGAATAAAATAAAAGGGAAAATGAGTAGTAATTTAAATATAAATTAAATAAATTTAGAGAAATATTTTTTTTAAATAAAGGTTAGGTGTTGTTGGGTCCGGTAAGCTAACCTGCATGACTCATTTTATTAGGGTTTATGTAATTAGACCTTTATTTGTTTATTTCTTATAGTTTGCCATAAATGTTTTTGAAACAAATCACATG